AAGTAATTTATCCATGAGTCCATAGCCTGTTGGGGATTTAGCACAGGTCTAACTCTCTACAAAGATTGATCTCTTAGAATTCAGTGTTGGTTTCTAAATCTATTGGGTGAAAAATATTCTTTTCCAATGACAATGGCAAAAAAACCTCATGAAGTCAGAGAGGAATCCAGAATAACACAAAGGCCAATAACGGAGCAAGTTAATGAATGCACTGCATGCAGCAGGTGGTCCTTCTGTAGATCTCTTTGTGTTTTCTTGACATACTTTCAGTCCGTCATTCAAAGGTCTGGCAGCTCAATGAACTTTATGGAGCTTGGAATGGGACTGGAAAAACAACATTCCTAGGGAGATGCTCACTGATCCAAACAGCCAAGGACAAAGAGACACACAAGTTCTTATGAAATGCCCTGGGAGGTGGCAGAGCCACTGTTAACTACCAGGTGTAAATTGTATTTCTATGGGGGCCACACATGGAGCCAGATGTCTAAAACCTAAAAATTTGGGAGGCTTAACAAGGAGGATCACTGCAAGTTTGTCTGAGTCATGCAGTAATCAAGGTCAGCCCACATTACATAGTGAGACATCGTCTCAAAAAACAAATGAATGAACAAAGCACCAAACCACCAGCCAAAACATTTCTATAAGTTCAGTATGCACCTCAAACTGACTTTGCAAAGTATGAGGAGTAAAGGCAACACTAACACGAAAGAATTCCAATTCTTAGTTTAAAATGGAGGCAGTGACACATTAGGGAAGATAAACAGTAGTAGTAGTAGTAGTAGTAATAATAATAATAATAATGATAATAATACCTGACATTTATTGAACACTAATTCTTTTTCTTATCAGTACCAGAGATCGAACTCATGACTGCCTGCTTGCAAGGCAGGCGCTTATGCTGCTGAGCTAAATCCCCAGCCCCTATTGAACACTAATTCTGCCCTACAACCTGTTGTAACTGCTTGTAAATCAATGAACTTGAAAGTCTTTACAACCACTTATTTGTGCCTAACTTGCCACTATGAATGACTCCATTTTACTTTGATGGGCCAATCTTCACTAGGGGTCCAACATCAGAGCTGGAATTAAGCCTGTACAGCCTGGCTCTAGGATTCTGGACGCTGCAATTCCACCTCAGCTCACTAAAATGATAATGACTACTAAGTTTAAGTAACTCTTATTGGAGTAAAAGTTCTGTAAAACTTTGAATGCATCATTTTACTTAATTTTTACAACACTGAAAGAGAGGTACTCTTATTACTGTTATTTTACAGATGAAGAATATAATGAGAGTAATGCAGGCGCATGTAAGAAGCTGATGGTGCATTTCATCTGTAGGTAGACTCAAAAGATTATGCTGTTAATCTTCCTGCTTAGAACAATGAGCCTCCCTGAAGGGACACATACATCACCTAAAGACAGTCCACCTGTCCAGCCACTCTTGCCTGATTGTTCTCGGAGAAACACCAGGCCTTTTCCAAGGACTTCTGTGTGATGTTAAAGTACTTTCATTGCTGACAGACTGAGAGGTGAGTATGATTTACAGGAACTTAAAAGTGTAAACCAGAGGTCATCATGTGTAAGTTAAGACACCATCATTTTTATTACGTGCACTGGTACCAATACGACCACAGTCATCACAGGGAACTTGTACCTGAACCTGATAGATCTTGATTCAAATTCAAATATAAATTCCCAAGCCCTTAAATATCCCACAACTTCTTAGAAGTTTTCATAGCCTTTTCGACCCTGGACCCTATGACTGATTCAATTACCAGGTTAACAGCTTTATTCCAAAGAGTATTATTTAGAAAAGTTTCAAAGACCTTCCAACAACATGGCATCCCAGGATAACCTCATGAGAGGCAAAAGACTACAGGCTCTGGGGTTTGAAAAATGGTTCAGCTGTTTACAAATTGCATGGCCCTGGACACAGGATTTAGACTTTCTAAGCTTCAACTGTAACATGCAGTTTCGTTTTTAAAAAGCACTCATTGAGCACTAACTACCTGCCAGCCATGTGTGAGATGATGGTAAAATGAGACTGGGCATGGAGGTGCACGCTTGCAGTCCCAGCAGTGGGGAAGCTGAGACAGGAGGACTGCAAGAGCTCGAGATCAGCCTGAATGACTTTGTGAGATCCTATGTCAAAACCCCAGAGAGGACTTAAGTTGTGGAGGTCTCGGGAAATTCCAAGGTGAGCAAGAAGCACTTCCTAGGGCTCTCTAGCCTTGTGAGAAGTCGGGAGAGTGACTCTAATCTTATAGGCTATTCTAGATTAAATGCAGGGTACTCTCTACAATGCTCAATAGATGGTACTTCTCTCCTTTTGACTATTATGTGACACTGGGGTTAAAAATGCAGGGAACAAGAGTTTTTGAAACTTTTGAACTTTTGAATTTTTTCAGGATTTTAGTAATACTTCAAATGAGTTCTAGTATTTCTTTTACAATTTGTTTTATTGTATTTACTTATACTATCACATTTTTAGTGTTACAAAAGAGAAAAGGAGGAGAAACAAACAATTCAAAGGCACAGAAACCCACCGGGAACGAGACGGTGGCTGAGGAAGCTGCCCGGTGACTGGCTTCCCATTTGAACAGAAACCCATCTCTGCAAGAGCTGAAAGACCAGTGCCAAGTTTTAGTACAGTAAGACAGAAAAGAAAGAGCTGCTCCAGTTGCCCCTCTCCCACACCAAGCAGTAGCATGGAAACAGGAAATTAAACCTATTAGACTTCAAGTCCAGTACCAGGCCCACTACAGTGTAATTCAAAGGTACAGAAGTCTACTTGAAACGGCGGAATAACTTCTACCACTCTGGAGCATATGCTGCGGAAGGGAGCATTGTGACAGGTCTTTTACACTCACTTGAGTTCCGCCACAGGTCTGATTTGGAACTGTGGGACACAGCTGTCCTTACTGTGTTCAGAACGTGATGAGTGGGGCGGGACACGCAGGTGGTGGTGCAGTGTGAAAGCTCTGAGAGCTGGGCATGCACCGAAGGTCACGCCCAGACCCTGCCCCATCAGTCTAAATGGGTATTTGGTTCTCCTGACTTCCATAAAAACAGTTTGCAAATCTGACTGCAGTTCTCCAAGCCTGAGGAATTTGCAAGTGTGAAGGTCTCCTAAACAAAGGCCCCAAGTTTTCTAAGAACATAGGATCTTTTCCTTTTTTCAAAAATCACTGAACCCCTTTCTTTTCCCAGGAAACCACTGGCTTTGGTTTTCAAATTCTAAGTAGTCAATGGTGTTTGCACTCAGAAAAAGCCAGCTAACTGGATACAGAGGCCTTCTGTGGGAGCAGGAATGTGATTACAAGTGATGTAACTGACAGCAAAAGGGTCTGGCTTACAGCCAGGGAAAGGGAGAACACAACAGCACAACTCAGTGGGAGGAAAACAGAAGTCCCAGAAGGAACCAGTTTTCCCCTGGGCTGCTCGGGGGCAGGAGATGAGCATCCTGCGTCTGTGAGGGTGGGGTGGGGTGGGTGCTGCTTATCAATGGATTTCAGCATTGCCAGTGAAATTCCACAGCCATGTGCTACACCTGGCATGTTACCTCACTTAATCCTCATAATCTTTGAGTTAAACACTTGTCTCAAGGTCACATAAAACAATAATAAAGACAGAATTCAGGCTCACTTCTGACAGATGCCACAGACCATTCTCAGTCACCAAACAATGTGGGCAGGCAATGTGGTATTTATTAATTAGGAAATGCATATAAACAGTTGGCTTAACTACAGTAATGTCTTCTGGCAGGAAAGAAACAGAGAGGGGGGAAGAGAACTTTAATTTTTTTTTTTTTTGAGACAGGGTCTCACTATATGGTTCAGGCTGGCCTCAAACTCACAAAGCTCCTCCTATCTCAGCCTCCCAAGCACTGGATTATAGCCACCAAATCTGGCTGTTTTCATTTTAAGCTTTTTTTTTTTTTTTTTTTTTTAAATGTTTTTGCCTTTTTGAGACAGGGTCTCACTGTGCAGTTCAGGCTGGCCTTGAGCTCACTTTGTAGCGTAGGCTGGTCTCGAACTCTCAACGATCCTTCTGCCTTAGCCTCCCAAGTGCTGGGATTACAGGGGTGAGCCACCACACCTGGCTTTCAGTTTATTTTCAATAAAATCAGGTCATATAACTAGTAAGTTTCATTAACTAGTTGATAGTATACTATACTATATTGCTTTCACAGCATATTTCTTTTTTTTTTTCTTTTGGATTTTTTGAAAAAGGGTCTTGCTATGTAGTTCAGACTGGCTTTAAGCTAACTCTATAGCCAGACTGGCCTCAAACATGTGCCATCCTCCTGCCTCAGCCTCCTGAGCGTTGGGATTAGAGGTGTGTGCCACTATACCCGACTCAGAGCAGATTAAGAAAGGGTGATACATAGAATGTGGCACAAAAGACAGAACATTATAATGCCATTATATAACCTGTTAAAATGTCTTCTGAGATAGCTAAAGCCTTCTGAATCCATGGAAGAAGCTCTCTAGCAGAAGACACAACAAATCTGACTAAAATGCATAGTCTAAACATGAACTCAAATTGTTAGAAATTTTAGTACAACACATAGATAACTATATGGAAACTGCTTATTTTCTGTGTTCTCTGACTACCAGTACCATTAAACCTTTTTGTATTTATTATTTTGCTATCTCATAGTATCATGTAAAAAACATCTTTTATCATCTTTGTAATTAAGAAAACTACACCTTTCAGAATAACAACCAATAGTATCTACCAAAGATGACAACAGACAGTAACTGATTCAGTCTGACAGAAGGGAAAAAAAAGTTCATAGTAGAGATGCAGAAGTACACAGCTAACACAGGACAAAAGTAAAATCTGTTTTGTCAAGAAAAGCCTAAGTGATCTGATGCACAACCACATGTTAAAGATACTTGTGCAAAACCTGAGCGCTGGCTGTATCATCTCATTTACTTCCTGGCTCATGAGGCCAGAAAGCAAAAAACAGGTGGGAAAACCACAGCCACACTTACCGTCGCATGTGAGATGGTTAGAATCCCATTCTTGACCGCACACTTCCTTCTCTGCCACACTTTCCGGATCCTAGGAAACAAATCAAATGGAAGTATATATACTGTCTGATCACTCTAAGACATGCAATCATACAATGATGCAAAACAAGATTATAAAACCCCACCTCAAAAGAGAACAATCCAGCTCCTCCCCCAACCACACAAACCAGAATATTCTAATTTTTTAATATCCCAAGGAGAAGCTATTTGAGACAAGTAAGCATGTAAACAAATGTTTATTCCCATAGCACTGATTTTGACAGTGAAAATGGGACACAGAAATGACAGAAACCTAACAGCTTGAGAATAGAAGAATTCTAACTACCACACAGGTAGAAGTCTTCCTTTCTGGGAAGGCGCCCAGATCTTTATTAGGAGTGGTACTCTAATGAACTTCTGGCTACATCTATAAATCCTACAAGGTTTTACTAGTTGATTATTTCTACAATTAATACTTTTTAAAAAGACCAGGCAGTCAACCACGCTGGACAGGAGCAGGGGTGAGGCTGCCTCGGGATACAGAGAAAGAAGCTTAGTGTCTAGGGCACAAGAATGTATTGTGACTGTATTTGATGGCGTGTGCACCTCACTTCTGAGGTCTTCCAGAGCCAAGTGATGCCTCAGAGCCCTTGGGAAGAGAATTAGAAGAGATAGTAAGTTGTGGCAAAACCATTTACAAGTAGCTGTGATATGTACTCTGGAAAATTTGATGTAAAAAGTCAAACAAATAATTTCACCTAGGAAGAGTTTTTCAGAGGCTTCAGGTAGAGGCAAGAGACAGACAGGTAGAGCTGCACTACTGGGAACCATCTCCATCAGGCAGACAAAAATGGGTTAGGTTACAGGGCTTCCCTACGCTGGGAGAATGTGCTCTGGGCCTCCTGTTGCCATGAAAACCACTTTTAACTTTCCAGGCTTTTAAAACAGTATCTTGAAATTTTCTTTTCCTTCTTAAATTGTCCTGAACTGCCAAAACAGATTTGCAGCCAACACAGGTAACACTGTCTTTTTGCATATGTGTATTAACTATCAGAAGCATAGTTTGCTCTAAAGCATGCTTCACAGAAAGAAATGAGAATGCAATACCACCCGAGATGTGGACTGAACATACTCTACTCAAAATCCTAGGCTCCTGAGGAGGCAGTGCAGAACTGCCGATCGAGGAACTGTCCTGCAATTACACCTCAGCCACTGCAAGTACTGGCGAGGGAAGTTACCTGTCAAACACGTGTACCTGTCTGAAGAATGTAGCCAGCTCTCTCAAACTGGTTCTGTAACTCCACCTCACAAAAGCCTTTTAAGATGGGTGAGGTATTCCCTGTACACACTGATTCAAAATTGGTGTCCTCTTTTTCCAGCAATGTGTTTTAAAGCAATTGTCAAATCAACCTAACAATTATTCAACCTTGAAGAAACTGTTCCTACTCAGTTTATTCATTTATTTAAGCCTTTATTCATTAGGTTTTCCTATTCATGTGTATTAAGAAAACATCAAATAAAACAAATACCCATGTTCTCTCGGACAGTTAATAAACCCCAAGAAAGTAACACAAAATCTCTCTGCCTAAGAGATGCTAATGAGGTCCCTGAAGATTGGCAGGCGACAGAGAATACCAAGATCTTTCCCAGTAGAGTTGGAAGCAGCAGATCTGACTTTTGTGAACACATGGACGGTTTTTTCTAAAAATTTAGGCAGTGGCCTTGCACAGCTAAATAAATGCCAACTTAAGAGGCTGGATCACTCAGGCTTTGGTCCCCATCCTTCATCTAGCAAACTCTTAGCAAAACTGTAACTACTTATGTTACCTGACCTCTTAAGAGACTTACATGTAGCATGTAAATGTATCACGGAGATAATAGTGCCCATTTTGTAGGGTTACTTTGAAAAAATATACACAACTGGTCCTTTCCTTTTCAATAAATGTCTCTGGGGCTTAACGTTTTAAAATTATTTAAACAATTTAAAACAGATTTTTAAACTGTGTAACAATGCTAAAGTAAAGAGTATTTCAAAATTTGGGTCAGATTCCTAATGCAAATGTCTTTATGTGAAAAATCACCTGAAACACTGGCACTTACTATTAGCAAGTGAGCCTGTCTTCATGCATAGGCGTTTTAGTATTTTTTCATTCACAGAAACAATCATGGCAACCGTGGGTTATCATTCTCCACCTTTGCTGCCTGTGTATTATTAGGAAGTCTGCCTTCCAACACCCCTTTTCTTATCTCTTGCCAATAGACTGCAGGCAGGGTGAGATTCAAGGCTGTACCACACTTAGCTTTTACCTTCTAGCACTCCACAGACTGCTTCAGATATCACAGTGATTTATGCGCATGAAATGAGGGCATGAAGGAGGCACAGACCACACGGAAGCAGTGTGGGGCGCGTTGTGTCAGTATGTCCTGTATATGGTAGGCAGTGGTGGGCCCTTTGAACTGTTGGATACCTGACAGTAAATCAGAAGAGCCAGGTTCAGATCTGGGCTCTCGCATTTACTGCCTATATGCTCTCGGCTGAATTATTCAAACTCTGAAAGGCATGAGAAGAGACGAGCAAGGGGTACCAACGATATGGCAGGCCAGGCACAGTGGATGATCATAGGCCCTGGTTCCAAGGTCTGAACTAAACACTTAGGAAAGCACTGCTGCTTGGGTGTGCAGATGATATCACTTAGAAACAGAAGATAATATGTTCAAGAAAAGTATGACTTCAGCTGGTAGTGTTAAAAATATGATTGCTCTGCATTTAGTTTCAAAAGATATGTAATAGTACACACTTGCTCACAACAGAACACACTTTCTGTCTGATGGGAGAACCACAGGTCAGTGTACTTCCAAGAGACACGGGTTGATGGTGAGGAAAGAATGGGGTGCTCAGGCTGAGCCTCTCTAGCAAGCCATTCTGTGAAGCCACTGATGTATGTACACTCAACCATGCAGTCAGGGCCACACTCTGATCACTGTGCTAGTTCCGGCCAGCTTGAACTACTGGTGCTACATGCATTACTGCCACCAGGCAGCCTGGGACGGTCCCATTGGGTGATGCAAGCAGCTCAGTGGGACAGTCATGCACGAATGGCCCCCATGTGAACAATGCCAAAGCTGTGACTTTGGTGGCTGACATGTCTTTTCTTTTACTTTTCAGCAGGATTACCTCACCAGTTCTGCAGTGTGCCAAGTAAAAGCCACGTGATGAAGGTGCTCTTCCTTGTTCACATCAACATCAGCACATCATGTCAGAATGGGACCACTTTTCACCAATCCTGCTGTTCCTCTGAGCCTGCCATCGTGTTCCTCTGTGTTTCTGTGAAAACCTCCTAACTGATCTGTCTTCTGCTCTTAAAGCCTACACTGTAGGCCCTTCTTAGAATGGTAAGTAGAGAGAACCTTTCTAAACCAGATGACATCACTTCCCTGCTCAAAACCTCCCAGACCCTTCATCTCACTCAGGAGCTCTACAGCACCCTGGTTTGGCTCCTTGTGCCCTTGACCCCATGTTCTATGACCCTCTGTTTTGCTCTGTCTATTGCATTGATGCTGAGCTCTTCGTTACCTCTATGGTGAGAAGCATGCTCCTAGATACTGTCTCTTCTCCTGGATATTGTGTAGGTTGCACCTTAATTTCCTTCAGGTCTTTGCTCAGATGTTATCTTGGAGAAGTCTCCCCTGACCACTTGGTCCCTCCCACGGCCCCACACTCCCTGCATCTCATTTGCTTCGTCCTTCTCCATGGAACTAACTGCCATCTCACTTGCCAAATATTTTCTCATTTTTCTGTGCTTCTTTCTTTAAAATATAAGCTTTGTAACGGTAAGGTCTTTATACAATATTGTACTCCCGCTATCTTTAAAAGAGAATTTAAGATATACAAGAGCCTCAAAAGATACCTGTTGAATGCATGAATAGGATGATGAGCAACCACCCCCAACTATAAATTGATCCTAGAAATTTGAGAACTATTTCAACAACCTAAAACAAGAAGTGTACACACTTTAGATGAAGACACATCTCCACAAGCAGTGAGAGCAATGGGTAACAACTAGTAAAGGGGATAATCAAGAGACAACTTATTTAATTACTATGAAGTAGAATAACCTCAACAAGCCAGTATGACAGGACCAGGGGAGCAAGCAGCATAAGGAAAGGCTGGTGAGGAAGCCTAGGCCATAGGCACATGGGAGGGAAGACACCAGACCATTCTGAGCAAGGGAACGCTTTATAGCTCTGAACAAACCACTCCAAGTACCATGCAGAGGTGAGGTGGAGAGGGAGAAGAGCAGAAAGAATGTCAGACTAGTTAGCAGACTGCTAAAAGAGCCCCAGAGAGAGGATGGTGGATCACCTTAGGGTTCAGGGAGGGGCAGCAAAATCGCAAGAAGTATACTACTATATTTTTAGTGTTAGGAAAGGAAAATCTTTAGTCATACTGGCTGGGATGTAAGAGTGAAGGTCATGGGTGATCCCCAAGGTTGGGTTTGGGGCAGCTAGGCAGACATTCCACACAAAGACAGAAGCAGCGAGGTGGCTTGTCAGCTCCTGCCTCATTAAAGTACACATTACAAGTCAGATTTGTGGGCTACAAAATGATTATTGCTTTTTATTTTTTTTTTAGTAAAGACCGGTTAAATTTTAGACTTATATGAGGAAAATCAGAGCAGTGAAAACCTTTTAAGGTGTATTTGCTAACCTCAGAGGCTGGAAGAAGTTCCTGCTTAATAGCACCCAGCAAGTGTACTAATCACACCATGGACACTGGCTCACACTCACCCATCGCTTTTCTTTAGCAGGTACCCCTTCTTCTCACTGCCGTACTCCTTGTTGCCCTGGAGTTGATGCATGCTGTACCCTCCTTGCCGGCTCTGGGAATCCTAGGAGACAGAAACCACAGAGTAAATGAAAGAGACGACACTCAGATCCTTGACTCTACCACTGAGCCTTTGCCCACTGGGCTAGGAGAACTACAGATCTTTGAGAGCTATTAGGTTCCTGCCTTTATTTTATAGGAGGAAACAGGACAGGTAAACAATTGCCAGAATCAAAGCAGGTCTGAGGCAGACGTGGACCCTGGGGTTCAGGTCTTCTATTTCCAGTCCAAAACCTAGCTCTACTGTGAAGTGAGTTCAGATATACAGAAATCACTGGCAGGCTACAATATGACTCAAACCAGTTTACATCAGCAGTACAGACAAACACAGGAAGTAATGGAGAACTGAAAGGGACTACAAAACAAAGTCCATGCAGTGTCAAAGTATTCTGTTAGGTTACACTTTTTCTCCCTTACGTATTCTGTGAATTTAAATAAAAGGGGAATGTTCTGAGTGACATGCAAACATTGAGTAAGAAGTTTCTGTTTTATAACTAACTACTTTGCATCTCCCCCCAAAAATCTAAAATCTGAAAGTTTTAAGTGCTGTTAATCCCAAAAAGTCTACGAAGCATTTGAGATTTATGATTTTTCAGGTTAGAGATGACAACTAGTAAAGTCTATGCAAATATCCCAAAATCTAAAAACCTCTGACATCTGAGTGTGGTCTCAAGCATTTCAGATAAGGATACTTAACCTGTATTGCTCTGTAATGTCTACCTACCACGGTACATTTTTCCCCCTTTCTTTTGTTGGTACTAGGGCTCGAATCCAGGACCTTAGTGCTGAGTTATATCCTCAGCCCTTTTTTATTTTGAGATCAGGTCTCTCTTACCTTCCTAGGCCAGGGTTGAACACACTGTCTGTTTAAAAAGATGATTCTTGGCCGTGAAAAGTATATGATGCTGGGAAGGTGATAGGGCCCAACCAACAACACAGACGCAAACAACCTGATTTCATGGATGTGCCCCACACAGCATCTGAGGCAGCATGACTAGAAACTGCCATCACATGGTGAACACGTGAGAAACAAATGAACGAGCTGAGGTACAAAACGAGAACATGGGACTCTAGACATGTAAGGATGATAAGTCTCAAAAAAGCATTGACTTACTCTCCTAGACTTCAATCAGGAAGGGCAAAAGCAACAAAGAAAAAAGCAGAACATTGGAAAATATAGTTAATTTGGTTGAAAAGTTTATCACCCATAATTTTATCATTTTACACATAATACACACAGAAAGTATCACTGTAAAGATAAACTACACACACTTTTAGAATTATTATAAATGTTAGCTGGCAGAACAGTAAAATACCTTTGTAATCTGTCAGGTTTAGTTTCAGGCCATGTTGAGTGAGTGCAGAAACATAGCTAAATGAAGACATGAGGAGTGTATTTTGCTGAGATAGAGTGGCTGAAAAAACTCAAAGGGTGTGTACAGAACGTATCAACATCTTAGTGAAACCGAAAGTGAATTACTGAGAAGGAGTCACACCCCAGCTCTTTCCCCACCTTAGGTGGACAGAACTTAGTAAATATATTGAGTTCATACATAGCACCTGAAATGTGCTGGGCAGAGGGAGGAGGTAACTCAACCACTGGTTATTCACTGTGACTGCGCATAGCACACCTTTAAGGTCAGGGCATGCTCAGCGATGCAGGTTAATGTTAGTTAACAGCTGAAGGAACATCTCTGGGACAATGTGCTTTTAGAAAGCTACTTGTGATGCAGTCGATCCCGAAAGACATGTCCCAAACACCTAGAAGTCAGGCTGAGGGACTGAGGACCCTGAAGGACCCTGGCCCTGCCTCTGGGTTGGCGCTCACACTCTGACCATGTCTATGTCCTGTGCCCTTGTCCAGTAACTGACAGCTGACCAGGCATGGCGACAGGTATCCTTCACCCGAAGTTCCCCTCTTGAACAGGCCTCATTCCTTCCATCTAATTGGAAAATTTTAATTATGTGGGAAGGGGTCAGGAATAGGATGAGATCTAGGAATCTCTAAGTCTTTACTGTTAAACAGAATCCACAGCCTTGAACCACACAGTAATGTGGCTAAGGCCTCATGCTCTCTAGGACTGTGGAATTAAGACTGAATGCCAGACAGGAAGAAAAGGCAGCCTTGCTCTTCTAGGGCCACCAGCATAGCCCCAGCATGACAGCAGGAGCAGAGCTTCTCTGGGGAGGCACTATCACATCCACAACCCTAACTGCAGAACATTAGCTCTAAAAATGATAGTGGGGGCAGGGAAAGGTAGAGATAAGTAAAATCATGGAGTTTCCTGTTTTAATCCAAGGAAACTGCACCAATATCATAACTACTATTTCAGAGCTAGGAATTTTCTCTATCTCCTAGAGACATTAAAAATGCAATCAGAAATTAAAAGAACAATCTTCTTAGAATGCTTGGCATTGAACTAAACTTCTTTTTATCTGGTCATAGAACTCTTAGGTCTGAATGCTTTAAAACTATGTACTTTAGACCATGTGTTAACCTTAAGAGTGTAAGTTTAACAAATAAAAGCCCTTTTACATTTCCTTACACATGGATTCAGATATTAATGACATATAGCAAACTATCATATTTTAGAAGTTTAACATGAAAACATTCCTTACATATATAGTCTACATAAACCTTAAATTCTGAACAATACTTAGATTAAATAGGTTTGTTGTACATCAGACAAATACACTTTTAGAGGTGCATCAATTCTAGCTTTGACTTCAAAAAAAGAGCAGAAAGCAAGCACTGTGTTTCAGAAGTCTAGCACTGCAATCTTAAATTAGCTATGCATGAATTTCATGTCTTAATAGTCCTATCAATTATTATTTGTGCACTGTGAGAAATAATGGTCCTTCAGTTTGCTTAGCAGAGTAATACAAACGGTGAAAAGAGGATTTTTTTTATTAGAAAGTAGATACAGAAAAATTAACAATGCTACTCATGATTTATACATATTACGTAAGAAATGAAACAAGTCCTGAAGACCAGTTAAAACACTGCATACAGACACACTGCTTAAGGCCTGCCATATGGTTACCAGCATGGCAACAATTTCATGTGGATTTGTTAAATAATTGGGAAAAACATACCCTGCTAAAACACATCTAAAATATGCACACATACATATATCTTTAAATATGTAATTTAATATGCATATTTAAAAAATTTTTATATATGTACCATATATATTTATTCACACACACATATATACATACACCCAGGAAAAAGTCTGGAAGAATGAACAATAAAATATTAAGACAAACTGTCTCTGAGAAGTGAAATTTGTATTTGCATATATTTTCTACAATAAACATGAATGATATTTGGGGGGTAAAAAGTAGGTTCTGAATTCTGTGACAGTGTAACAGAAATCAACCATACATTTAGAGAGAAATGCAAATGAAAAAAATTATTTGGGAGAAAATATGAAACACTAAAAATCAACAACAAACTTAAAATCTTGGGGGAAATTTCATGATGTGAGCCAGGAAATATAAGCTACAGACTGATGGCATTATGTTTAGTTCGTTTCCTTTTCTTTAATAGTAGTACAAACAAATCAATTCACTTTCTTATTTGAGACTGTATAAATATATAAATACATTATCAAACAGATTATTAAAATCTCAGCTCCCTCTAAATGCCCAGCAATTACACACTCAAGGACCTAAAGGGGTTATACATGTATCTGGTATCCAATTTAAAACCAAATCTATACTATAGGAACTTCAAATTTCTAATGTATGGTGTACATAGGCAAAGGATTCTTCTGGTTCAGTCTTAGTAAACTGAGCAGTTTGTCGGGGTCAGGAAATGTGTCAGAGAATGAACCAAACCTGCAGAGCACACTGCAAAGCCCATCTGTGACTCAAACAAAAGGGTGAAATTTCTGAAATGATTGTGTGTACCATAAACACAATTTATGTATATAAATGTATCATTGTTAGAAACCTAAAGATAGTTATGTAGCAAATAGGTTTTTGGGGAGATTAGGTTAACCTTTATTATTAAAATGAATAAAATAATTCATTTTAAACAACGTTTGCCAAAGATGATTAAGAACTTGACAAGAATAAAAGTGAACCTTTCAAAATTCCAGGGATCCATTTCCAGAGAAAATTCTTAGTGCCCTTTAATGGAGCTACATTAGAACCTCGTGGAGGTAAGTAGGTTGAATGATTTGTTGGGCACTTTTGTCTTAGACTAAAGGTAAGATGAGAGTATTTGCTACCGTTCTTGCTACAGCAATACTTTTCGGGAAGAATATACTCTCAGACACTAAAAATCATTAGTAGATATACATAATCTTACTATGAGAGGACAAACAGCACAGGAAAGGGAGAGGTATGCAGTAAAAGGTAAATTTGTCTTGTAAAACACTCTGGACATGTTGCTAAGGGAAATCCGTTTATTTAGGGTGTACTTAAATCAGATCATGGGCATTTTATCATATGCATACTTCTTGGCTTATGTGAAACTTTGTTACTTAGCTGTCTTGGGCAGAACACATCAGTCTCTATGAAAAACAAAAAAGGAGTTTTTTCTCTTTCTAGAAGGTGCCCATATTTAAGAAGGTGGTGATGGTGTATGATAAAACAAAGGTAAGAAGTGGTTCAGTGCATACCAGCAAGTAAAAATTCTCATATTTTTTCCTGCAGACAGAAACCTTCAAATTGGGTTGTGCTATTGCACTCACACAGAGAAATTGTTCAGAGAGATCACTTCCCCAAGGTCTATAGGCCAGTGACAAACAGCTTCTAAAGTTACAGCCTATCTGTGTTTCAGTCTTTTGTGTACTGTGGTTCTAACCCTTAGAAGTTCTAAACACAGGCTGATCACACAGGCTCAAACCACAGCTGGAGAGGCCTGGGACAAAAGCTGCCTTCATGCACACATCCTCTTGGCTGCCATGCCTACGTCACAAGTGGACGGGCACCCAGCTCTAAAGGGCTACACCTTTTCTCACCCTGTGAATATAAAACTACACCTGGAGAGGGGGCTGGGGATTTAGCTCAGCGGCATAAGTGCCTGCCTGCAAGTGTGTGGTCGTGAGTTCGATCCCCTGTACAGATTAAAAAAAAAAACAAAAAAACAAAAAAAACAAAACTACATCTGGGTTGTAAACACTCAGTAGAGAGAACATGGGGACTGTTGGAAGGCGGGTGGCTGCTGAAGAGCTTTCTATATCTGGAAGTGGGGTTGCTTCATCATTATTTTAGACTCATGAATGTCTTTCAGAAATTTTAAGGATTTTAAAAAGTAACAGTACCGTTGTTATAAGACATAAAGAATTGACAATATAAAAAAAGGTTGCGTTTCATGCAATTATTAAATATTACATGTAAATACTGTATGTACTTAAATTTAATTTACAATGATTTCATAAGCAAAACAGGCACATTTTACTTTCTCCCATGAAGCAAATGGTGCTTATTATTTGATTTACTTTACTACAAAGTTCTTGTTTCTCCCTGCAAGATCCAGGTTCCACCACAATCAGGTCTGAGTTTTCATCTCAGAATCCATTTCTCACCCCTCTACTGACCCTGTCCCTCACTGCTTCAGGGTCATTTCCACCTGACTTGCTTGGGTTTCCTCTGGTTGCAGGCCGATTTCCACTGAATCCTGAGGACCACTGAAATCAATGTAGACATGACTGACTGTCCACATGGCTGATCTGTTCTATAGACAATGAGCTCCTTAATGGAGAGAACTAGGGCTTAACGCCCAGACCAGGGCTTGGCACATGGTGAGCGCTAATTCTATGTTTGAACAGTGGCATTTACATTAAGAATGTGTGCCACATCCATCCAGTGTCTACATTTATTGTGAGTTGTTTCAGTATCCAAGGACGATTTCACCTTAATTTTCTTAACTGTGAGGCAAAGCGTCCATAGGATCCTGCATCAAATCCTTTTCTTACTTTCATCGTAAAACTAGATATGCCCTTATTGGCTATCCAGAAAGACAGAGATGGTCTAAAGCAGTGACGGTGAACCTTTAGATCTTTCAGTGACAACAAGCAGTTGGTCCCAACATGTGAGCCATAGGTTTTCCACCATGGGTCTAAAGACAGTCGTAGGAATGAAAAATCTAGAGTTGCAGAACACTAAGTCAAGGGTTTCTTCATTTATAAGGATGGAAATGGAATCAAAACTCAGTTTCTATGCTGGGCAATGCCACAGGTACACACTGGTTATCTCAGGTCTCTGCTGTCCCCCACTCGCTGGCAGGAAGTTATCAATGTGCCTGTTTCGGAGACCAGGAAACATAAAGAGTATATCACAAGTAGCCTCACTTACACTGTTAGCCCTGCTGGGAACATATAAACCACCTACTTCTTTCTGATCAAGCTGAAGAGAAGATTTTATTAAATCTCGGAGTGCGGTTAGCTGTTTTTTCTCTTCATCCTGGGTCTGTTTTATCTATTAAAGAAAAAAAATCACTTTTATTACATATTGCTTATGTGTTTATGAACAGTTTAATTTATCCAAATACACTACTCATCAGTTCAATTATACAGCTGATTTTCAATTATACAGTCTTCATACTGTTTCATTTTTGATACAAGAAGTACAGTTTTCTCGACTTGAGAAATTACTGATAAATTCTGAAATCAGGCACCATGCTTTCTTATTAAATAATACATCCAAGCTAGATAATTAGTTATCTTTGAAGCACTATTTCAAATAGGTTTAAGACATTATATTGCAGCCAGGCATGTGGATGTGGGATATGCCTGTAATCCCAACCATTTGGGAAGGTAAGACAGCAGGGCCAGAAGTTTGAAGTTAGCCCGAACAACTTAGCAAGACAATGTCACAAAATAAAATTTAAAAAGGTTTTGATTGAAGCATGTGGTAGAGTGCTTCCCTAGCATGCACCAGAATGGAAAAAGGAAAAAAAAAAAAAAAAAAGAAAGAAAGAAAAGGAAAAAGAATAAACAATCATGGTTCTGACTTTTTAAAGGGTGGTAACAAAAATATTATGATGTGATAAAATGGGCCAGAACCAAAGAATCCATGTTTATACAGTACTACATCAGAAATAAAAATTGTGCTAGTAGGCTGGGGATATAGCTCAGCGGCACAGTGCCTGCCTGACAAGTGCGAGGCTGTGAGTTTGAATCTCAGTTAAAAAAAAAAAACTCACGACCTAACACTTGCCAGCAGTGCTATGCCGCTGAGCTAAACCCCAGGCCCAATTGTGCTGGTTTTAAAAGTTATTTCGAATTTAGTTGTAATTTAAACCATGTTATCTACTAAAAGAAAATAAAAAAATACACAGCTATGTATCTTTTTTGGTATCTTCTTTTTAAATATTTTTATTTTCCATATTATAAAACAGGGTTAGCACAAAGTTAAATGATTAAAAAAATCAGTGCATATCTATTCTCAAATCTTCCCCTTTTGGTTTAAGGGTCATTTATAAGTACAACTAATGTATATAATTCTGCATATTTTCTAATGTATGTTCTCAAAAAATAAGCAGTAACACAGAAAGTTAATATAATGCTGTAATACTCTAATATAGCCAAAGGATATTATATAAAGAAAAGCATTTTACCTGCCATACATTAGACTCAACTTTTCCATTTTTACTTTTGTTTACTTCTCCCACATTTTTAATTAATGCAATTTGTCATACAGATTAAGTGGTTTCTTTTTTGTAGATTTGCACCTGCCTATAACATACTTTAATCATTTTCTTACCCCATTATGCCCCATACCATTCTTTCTCTTATTTTTGTGGCATTTTGAAAGTTATACAAGAATACAGGATGAGCTTTTCTATCTGAAATTCTACACAGTATTTTTAGTGCACCTGCACTGTAACTGTAACCTATCACAAGAGGACAGGTGTGGAATTTTCCACTTATGCCATGTCAGTCAGCACTCAGTGATTCAGAATTTGGAATATTTTGGATTTCAGACATTTGAATCAGGGATACTCAACCTGTATATTTGTATTACTTGTAACTCCAAAACCTAAGATACATATTCATATTTATAAGATATTCCTTTAATACTCATCACTAAGAGACTTATAGGTAGCGGGCCTGTTAGTTCTATATATGTAGTAAATTTTTTTTCTCAGAGCTTTGTTTGATTTTTCCATTATAGCAAACTTAGATACTAAAAAATAAAATAAAGCATAATAGTTGATGAGAAATTCATAATCTTCCTTCTTACAATTACTTTTATTCTTGTATGATGAGGCATTCTTTATGCAACTGCTGGCTAAATGGCAAAGAAATGTGCAGCTCTGAACAGAAAACTGTCTAGAAGCAATGGCTACATGTTCTCCTCCGATGTTCCCACGTCCCAGAAGATACACTGCTGTATCTGACCACTGACAGCTTCTCTGAATGAAACAGAAGGCTTCTCTACCCTGGCATTAAACTGACTTGATCTTTTCTGCTTCTGACACAGATTCCAAATGTGTTTTTATCACAAGTTGAAAGGTATGTATTGCAGAGTACTTACATTATATAAATCAGCAGCCAATTTTTCAATGTACTGTTTCAATTTATCAGCTGTTTTCAAACCATCTTGAAAGAAACTGCAATGGGAAACAATGGCTATTTACCAGTAAAGTGAAAAGCAAAGGAACTATAATTACCCACAAAATCAAAAAACACATACATACTCACAATACACTCACTCCCCACCCCCAGTGTAAAACCATTTCAGTATTTTATAAAGCTGTACCAGCAAACTGTGGCTATTGTTTGACATCTGACAGGAGACATCATGGTCAATATAAATTACAATTGTAGTCCTCACATGATTTCATAATGTGTATATCCAACTATATGTAGAATTCCTTTTGGTTGAGTTATATTTGAATTCAAAAGAAAAGGTACATAGCTACTGCACAAATGAAGCCAACCCTGATAGCACAGGAGATATGTCTAACTACAGGAACAGGCAGGAGGAAGAGTTCTTGTAAGTTTTCCAACACATATGTGACCACACCGGACTTCAAAACAATGAGGTACCAATGGATCTATCACATAAAGAAAAAGCAGTATTTCACCTGAAGAGTAACAAGAGCTAACATTTGAGAAGCATTTATTACAGGTGTAGCACTACACTAAGCACTTTACACAAGTCCCTTCATTTATTAACTCTCATGAATTAAGCATTTTAATCTCATGTTTCCCAGAAGACCATATGGAGGCACCGAGGACACAACTTCTTTACACGAGATGACATTCTGTGACCATGATGATATGTCAACTTGACCTGAGTAAGAACCACCATGCAGACTAGTAAAATTCTGGGTCTGACTGTGAGTGACTGACAGGCAGGCAGCAAAGAAGACACACCCTGGATGTGGGTGGCGCCAACTAGTCAGTCTGTAATGTGGACAGAAAGAGGGAAAGAGAAGTGTTTTCTTTTTAGGAGCAGCTCTGGTCTTCCTCACGGCCCCTGAACACTGGTCCTCAGTTTCTGCAGCCTTCAGGCAGACTCACACTGCTGACTATGGTGCCCCTCCAGGTCTCCAACTTCTGACTGTCCCAAGTGCTCTGGCACTCTAGCCACTGTGACTCCTGAATCTGGACTAACACAGACTGAGCGTCATGTCAGTCTGGTTCTGCATCCCCACGTGTGATCATCAGGTGAAGAGATTTCTCGTCTCAGGTGGAGCACTCCACTCAGAAACCCAGTCTGTGTACTGCTGTAGAGAAACAGAAAGCTACAGCATGCTGCTCTCCTGGAAGCTTCCTTAACCATGCCCACTGCAGACTATTTCCTCACAGAACAGTCTGTTTTGTTGTCTTGTTATAAATGATGAGAACTGTCTCATCTCCTATCCCAGTGGGGCCAGCATCATTCAGTTAGTTGTTTAGTCAGTGGCTTACAAATGATAATGTCAAGAAACGTTAGATTATTGCTTGGGATTCATAGTTTCTTTTCAATTTAATATATGCCATCTATGTCAACAATATCAGGCTCTATCAGAACTGGTCTTCATAGTGCTAGAAGCCAAGTGCCAGTACTCTTTGAGGTTAATGTGAGAAGCACTATTTTAGAAAGTCCTCCAGAAGCAGGGATGACAAGAAGCAGAACTTTTTCATTAACTGCTGACCTAGAAAAGCTGTTTAATTGTATTGTGAGGAAGTCTTACCATGTATCTCCGACCTCTAACTGACTACACCACCCAGGCTGGCCTCAGAGATCTTCCTGTCTCAACCTCATAGGCATGTGCTGCACTGTCCAGCTTGGAAACACTGAAATCCTCATTTTCTAACAGTGTGGTGGATTAACTAAAGGTCAACTTGGAACTCCCAGATGAACTGAATCAGTGTGGTGCTGGGTGCTGAGGGCCCACCCAAGGACGGTTGCCACAAAAGAACTGGACAGGAAGACAGTATGCTATTGATTCTGCTCCTGGAGAAGCTTGTCATGCTAGTTTTCCTGTCATGAACTCAGATGTTCTCATCTTTAGAGGAGCGCAGGTCCTCGGTGCCGCTGAGGATGGCTATGACAGTTGGTCTTTACCTTGAGCGTCACTTCCTGGCTCCAGTGCAGAATCCTCAGCCTAACGGCACAGAGCCTTCATCCTGCTGGTACAGATTTTCTCCTTTCCACCACTGATCTTTGGGTCTTCCCAGTGCAGATCTTTAATACTGTCTTGCATGAGATACTGTTGAGGTCTCTGGGCCTCCAGCTGGGACTCATGGAGGACACTGCTATGGGATCCAGGCCCTCAGCTGGATTCTTTGGGTCTCTAGTACATATGGACAGACTTCCTGCACTCTTCTGCATTTGACTTTTTGGGTGGCTATTTATAATCTTCTAAATTATGTGTCCTGTAGTAAGTCTGTTCCCTTGTAAATCCTGACTACAACACTCAGGTTTTCATCACTGCCTATAGGGATGAAAACTGAACATCACTGTACAGAATAAAAATCCTTTTTATTTTCTAGCTCTTGACTATTGTTGTAGTTTTATCTCCTACCACTTTCCTTTAAAAATTTTATGTGGCAGCCGTGTAACATTATTTCCAGTCATTTGTTCTTTTTCAACGCACGAGTAATAGCAAGGATATAAACACTTCCATCACAGTAGGAAGTTCTACTGGACAGTACTGCTCTATAAATAAGTTAACAGATCTGAAGAGCACTGGGAGAATGTTTCTTCTGCAGTATGATCCCATTATTACAAACAACTAGATACACAAATCCATTAATCTTTTGGATGAGGAACTTACAGACTTTAAAGTTTTTCCCTCACTTTTCTATAGTTATTTTTTAAAAACAGACTATACATTACTGGAACAAAACAAAATTAAAGAATCAGTGGATGTAGTATGAGTCCATAATATGAAGTGAAATAAATCAGACACACATGTTTAAATATTGCATGGTTTCTCTTATTTAAGAAACTCAGAGTACAAATTAAAGAGCAAAATATGAGACATGTAATAGGAAATAGACAGACCTTCTGCAAAAGGAAAGAGGATCAAGGGATGAGTTGAGTAGATAGGGAGAGAAGGGAGATTAAAAAAATTAAGACATGTTATGCACATGAAACAACTCTCCACAATAAACGTAATCATTACTGCATCAATATTAGAGCAGGCATGACTAATAAAAAAATTCTCAAAAAAAAAAAAAAAAAAAAGGAATCAATGTTTAGTCTTGGAGACAAGCCTAGGGCGAAATCTTTGTAGAAAGTCTAGTTTTTCACATGAAACAGGAGCAGAAATGAAAGAGCAGGAGAATAAAATGATCATGACAGTGATCATGATACTAATGTACTGGTAATGGCACAAGAATCAAATGCCAACACACTGTCAACTGCACTAGCCCTTTGGTGACGTGACTCCTTCCTCTGTGCCAGTCCTCAAGAGCTTCACAGTGCCAGTGGTGGGTGGAAAAGACCCAGGGCTGCCACCTCCAGGAGGGAGGGCAGCAGGCTCTCTGTTCTTCTTGTCTTCCTTTCCTCCTCTAGCAGAGGAAATGCATGGGCCTAGGAATCAGAAGCATGTTACAGTTTAGCTCTAGGCTCCTGTGCTAGTGGCAGGCAAAGAGCACACTCCCACTATATGGGGATCGAAACGCCTGTGTTCAGAATCCTTCTGTACCTCATCCTAGGTACTGTTTCATCTAGCTGTTCATTATGTCCTTTCTATGGCCATTACTTTTTAAAAACCTAACTGGTACATTTTACATATATATAATGACAAAATTAAACACAGGGAAGTTGCACTTGCACATGACATACCTTGCTGCTTTTCCTCCATTCCTTCCCTTCCCTTCAACCCCTTTTTGCCTTTCTTTTTTTTGAGACAGAGTCTCGCTATGTAGTTCAGACTGGTCTTGAACTCATCTTCAATCCTGCCTCAGCCTCCTGAGTGCTGGGATTACAGGAGCCTGCTACCACACCTGGCTCTTCACCTCCTTATTTAAAGAGCTTTGTGGGCCAGATGTGGTGGTTCATGTCTATAATCCCAGTATTCAGGAGGCTAAGGCAGGAAGATCACTGTGAGTTCAAGACCATCTTGGGCTCCATGGTGAGTTCATGGTCACCTTAGAGTACACAGCAAGATGGTTTCAAAGAGAAAAAGAAAAAGCTTTGTTCCTATTTCTTTTTCTTGTCCCTTCTTATAGCCTTTAAAACAAGCCAGTACTAGTTAAATGCAACTCAACATAATGGTAATTAGTCCTCATACAGAAAAAGATAAAACACATGTACAGGGTAGAGTTCCAGTGAGCGCCAGAAATAATAAATGTATTTCATATAGGAGGCCTTGAGAAACAGCTCAATACATAGTGGCCCTAGGCCCACAAAATGGGCTTATTTTTCTGACCTTAAAGATGGCAAGACTGGCTTCATATCTTAAGTAGCTTGAATGAAACATTACATTTGAATGATAAAGGATGCTAAGAAAATTTAAACCGCCAACGGATGGACAGAGGACCTCACATTTATACTGCAGACTGGAACACACCTCCAGCTGTCAAGGGTAGGTTCGTGTGCCCTGAACACAAACACAGGACCTTCCACTGGCAGGAAATTATCTTCCTGAGGACAAACCTATGCCTCTGCATGCACAGAAATCCTAAGTCCTTCATTTATTTCTTGGGTCACTGCGTCCAAACAGTGACAGTTAAGGAAAATCTATAAAGATAATCTCTCACCAGTTCTTTTTATCAGATTCTGTTTGGCTTACAAAAAAGTGCTCTTTGGCCAAAAGTTTATAGGCCCAGAGAGCAGAACATTATTATCAAAAGAAGTTATGATATTCTACAGTATTATGGAGATTATTTTACAAACTACAAAACAAAAAATAAAGTGAATAACGATCAGCCTCTTTTACTTTTTTATAAATTAAAAAAATTTTGAGTCAAGTTTCACTATGTAGTTCAGGCTGGCCTTGAACTTGCAGAGATTCTCCTGCCTCAGCCTCCCCAAATACTGGGATTACAGGTGTGTGCCACCATGCTTAGGCCTCCATTAGTCTTTTCAATCCCTGATTTCCAAGTTTTAGGCTGTAAATCAAGCATTCTAAGGGTGGTTTTATTCTTCTCAATATATTCCATGCAGTAT